ATAAAACTTATGTAGAAGAATATAAAATGATGTGAGAAAATGTCTATTACTTACCGAAAACAGAGCAAAGTCCTACTTAATTTTTTTTTTTAATTTTAAAAATACTGCTATGGAGTGAATTGTGTCTCCCCAAATATCATATGTTGAAGCTTGAACGCTTAACATAAGTGTACTTGGAGGCAGGAATTACGAGGAGGAAGTTCAGTTTATGTGAGACAGTGAGAGTGGGGCCCCAGCAGGACAGGATTAGTTTCTTATAAGAAGAGACACCAGACAGGTCACCCTCACTCTCTCCATCATGTGAAGACACAGCAAGAAGGTGGTCATTATAAGCTAGTTTTATAGGGCAGCCCCAATACAAAACGGGGTGCCTGACTGTGGGTCCTCGCCTGCGCGCTTAAAAGGACTTATCAATGCTCTACTGCAGGCACACGCGAAAGGTTAATAAAAGGTTTATTTACAAGGAATGGGGAAATGAAAAAATATACAGCTCAGGGAAAAAAGTGGGAGACAAAGTTTTAAATGACGCCTACCCAATCCGCGGATCAGAAATCCCAAAATGGCACTCTGAGAGCTGGCCGCGAGCCAGGAGCCGTGAAGCCAGGAGGTGAGCAATAGCGAGCCCCCCAAGGCCCATGTGTTTGGTTTTTATACCCAACCTGGCTGCTTAACTCCATCCTCAGGTCCCAGCCACCCTCCCTTTGGTGGTGATGGGATTTGTCTTTCCCAATGTCTTGATGGCTTTGGTCTGGAGTGGGGGTGGGGTCCACAAAGCCTGTATGGGATTAGCACAGGACATCCTTTCCCCCTAACACTAGGAGAGCCCCACCAGAACCCAACCATGCTGTCACCCTGATCTTGAACTTCCAGTCCCCAGAACTGTGAGAAAATAAATTTCTGCTCTTTAAGTCACCTAGACTAAGATGTTTTGTTGTGCAGCCCAAGCTAATACACATGTATACGAAGATGACACTTCACCATCTTAATAGAGATTCTCTGTAAGTGGGTCTGCTACTGACTTTAAACTTCATTTTATTTTTGTTTTCCAAAGTTTGCACAATGAGCAAATATGATTTTTATAAACACAAAATCAATACCTTTTTTATGGATGGCAATCACGGTTAGCTGTGGGTATTACAAAATGAATACATGCTAAATGAAGGAATTGGTGGCTTTATATTCTCTTCGCTAATCTGTATTTTCTGAAATTCCTACAATGAATGTATATTAATTTCATTTTTAAAAAGTTATATTCAAAACACTTTTCACACACTAAATCTTCTATAAGAGAGGCCCATTTGTGTGTGTGTTTGTGTGTGTGTATGAGAGAGAGAGAGAGAGAGAGAGAGAGATGAGGGAGGGTAGCAAACTGAAAAGCCCACTCTTAGGGTGCTTTCATTCAAGGAAATTCAACTGACTGCCCATGGAAGGTCAGGAGCTTAGCCGCAATTTTTTCCTTAGTGCTATAATGGTTTTCCATTACTAGGTAATAATACTAACACAAACTTCGCAGTTTAAAACAATATGGATGAATTTTTCCCAGTTTGCATCTATTAGTAATCCCAGCATGGCCTGGCTGGGTCTTCTATTTAAGGTCTCACCAGGGCGCAATCAAGTCCCCAGTGGGGAAGGATCAGCTTTCATGCTCTCAGGTTGACGGCAGAACTCAGTTTTTCATGGTTTAGAAGTGAAAGTTTCATTCTCTTGTGGAAGCACATCCCAAGGGGCATGGTTCCCAGACGGAGCTCCCTAACATGGATCTTGCTTCCTCCAAGTCAGCAAGGGAGATATAGTCCGAAGCTGCATTTTATGTCCTGTAACCACCAACTCAACCACACACATTCTGTGTCCATTGGTTAGAAGCAAGTCATAGGCTCCACCCACACTCAGGAGGCGGGGCTCACACAGGGCGTGGCCAGAGGCACATCCTGGAGACCTTGTAGAACTTCTGCAAAAAAATCTGTATTTATTTTACTTATATTCGACATATTTAAAAAGTAAAGCAATGGAAGATATTTTTAAATATTCCATCCTACAGACATTTTCACAAGACTTTCTCCTTAATATATTTTTTGCGACTCTTGCTCTTAATCTATTTGTCTTACTATATTAAACAAAATTATAAAGCTTAAACATACCTAAAGAAAAGAGAGCAAATCACAGCTGTAGCGTCGGGTGACTCATCTCAAAGTGACCCTCTCCACATAACCAGCACTCAGGTCAAGAAGCCGCGCCTGCCTGCTCCTGGCAGTCACCCGAGCTGCACCCAAGGACACGCGCTGGGGCAGAGCTGTATGTTTTAAGTTGCTCTCCTCCTCCTCTCAGGTTTTCAAGCCTGTCAACCCCACTTATGAAGTCGTCCCAGAACAGGGATTTTAGGGCTTAGGAACAAGACCTGCTCAGCCAACCAGAACCAAAAGAATCTGGCGCTGACAGAAATGATGTCTTGGCTCAAGCAGGATTGAACCACTGGTATTTGCAACTCGATGGCATCCTCCCACCAGAGAAATTGGAAGGAAAGAAACTGTTCAAGGGAGTTGAAGGCCAAGGGAAGAAAATCTGCTGTCAGGAATGACTTTGCCCCTTTGAAGAAAGTCTCTGCTTCCAGACTCAAGCGATTTACTCCCAGAGAAGTGAAGAAAACTTGCAGATGTGATTGGGAAAAGGCAAGAATTCTCTAAGGTCACACTATTCACTAGAAATGTGATTTCAGCCACCTTATGCAATTTTAAATTTTCTAGAAGCTACATCAAGTAAAGTAAGAGAAAATAAACTCGAACAATTTAAATAATTAAGCATTAAATAATTTAGTTTTAATATAATTAGCATAATATATTTAAAATAATGTCATTGAAATTCAGTGCTTTTGTCTGGTATTTTACATGCCAATTCAGAGTAGTTAAATTTCAACTTCTCACTTGCCTGTGTGAGTGGTAGCTACCATATAGGTCAGTGTCATTTTAAGGTATCAGGAAGAAATGCCAAGAAAGGAACACACATGCACACACAAGCATGCATGCACACGCACACACAGTTGATATTTAAAATGTTCCAGAAGAGTGGATTACAGTAATACGCAAGTAACAAACATGCATTCATTCATCAAACATTTTTGCACACAGGGCATAGAGGAATGCAAAACTTCTGTCCTCAAGGATCTGATAATCTAGCTAAAGAGACAGACATTGGTAGGGCTGTGATGAACAATGAGTCTCATTCACTGCTGGGTACAGCCCCTGTGGAAAATGATATAGAGATTTTTTTTAAAGAAAATACAAATGCAAATTCCATATGACCTGGCAATACCTCTGTTAGGTATTTATTCAAATAACATGAAAACTCTAATATGAAAAGATTTATCTGTACCTATATACATAGCAGCACAATTATCCAGTCATGGAACCAACTCAAGTGCCCTTCAACAGAAGAATGGAGAAAGAAATTGTGGACTTTATATTCAGTGAACTACCAGACAACTGTGAAAAAAATAAAATTTGGTACAAAATGGATGGACCTCCGGGTGATTATGTTAAGTGAAATAAATCAAAAAGTGAAAGATTAAAAAAAAATAGAGACAGACATAACAGACCTATTACAAGGGCAGTGGCAAAGGCAGTGCCAGAGGTGAACAGAGGGATCAGAGAGAAGGGTCAGGCCCAGAGAAGACTGGCTGGAGAACACTCATCCTGCTATCACATCCTTGCAACCATTAGGGAGCCTGAAATGCTCATTATTCTGTGAGTTCTGCTTTGTGAAAACAGCCTGGTTAAAATGCAAATATCTATTCAAGCAGGGTGAACACATAAAGTCATGCACGCCCATTTACATGCATTATATTTTTGAAACCAAACTTATATGTGCTGTTGAGCAGAAAATAAAACTGGAATTATATGGGAGAAAGATCTAAGGAACATGAAGACTCAGGGCTCCTTTATGGAGCACTCAGGCCTTGAAGGCTTTTTAAGAGGAAACCTAGTAAAAGGAGAATAGAAACATTGAATGTGAAGGTTTAGACATCAGTAAGGGAGGCAGAAAACTGCCCAACGTAACACATTGAGAAATCACTTTGTCCTAATACATGGTGACCTGGGGTCCTCAAAGCATGGCCCTCAGATCTCCACGAACAGATTGTTGGAGCAGACTTTGAGATATGCATTTAATGCATGTCACACAGTAGGTGCTCAACCACAAGGGAAAAGAGGTCAATGTTATTATTTTCTAGCCCTTTCAAAGATGTGAAATAAAACATTTGTAGAGACAAACACCAAAGCATAAGTATAGAGTTTAACAAAGTATTATCAATAAACACCTGTTGAACCACTCCCCAGGCTTTCTGACCCAGAAGCCTCCATGTCCTAACCAGGACACAGTCTTCTCCCTTCTCCTCTCACCTTTTATTGGAGACACATAAACCAGCATCCTGAAACAATAGAGTATTATGCTTTTGAAAAGCTCCTTGTTAAAGTGTAAAGGACATATGACAAACTGCACATTCAGAGCTGGTTACTTTATGGGAGGGCTGCCAGGCCCTGACTGGCCCCATTTCTGTATGTGTCCCCAGGACCCACTCCTCAATGGCTGGGCATTAATGGGGCATGAAGCCTCAAGAGCTTTAAGATTCCTTAAATGTAGATTATCAGACCCCTTCCCTAGAACCTGCGTTTTAACAAGCGCTTGGAAGATTCTGACCATCAGAAACGAAGAAAAGCTCTCCACAGAGGACAGTGGCATTCCAATGTCAAATATTCTGTTTCTCTCTTCCCAAGGTCTGTGCCCCAATGACCAATTTCTGTGAAGTTCAGTCAACCTAGAGAGAAAACCTAGTGAAAAGGCATTAATCCCAGCCCAGCACTGTGTCCACGTGTGCTTGAGAACAGAGCTTGGTGCTGCACAGACCCAGGCTTCCGAGGGTGGGGCCTCGGCAACGGGACACCTGTGACATCACATTTGTCTATGAAGTGGGATGATAAGGTTCTCATTGTTGTGAAGATTAAAGACCATAGAGAGCACCAGGGGCCTTTTTTTAGCATTTCTTCTGTTGAGCGTTTTGTACGGGTTTCTCATTCATGCAGCCAGGGCTCTTGCTGGGCACCGCGGAGAAGAACAAGCACTCACTGTGGCTGGGCCCCTGCCTCTCCTGGCCAGGTAGCTACCTGAACAGAACTAAGATTCTTCAAGGGAAGAGAAAGAGTGGGGAGGAGTGGCAGAGGGTGAATACTGGGTTAGGTGGAACCAACCTTGCCTGCCTCCTCTGCTCAGGGGGCCTGTCTTAGCAGTATTTTGCTTCATTTAATTTTTGCCTTAGAAATCCTCAACTACACAAGTAGAGAGAATATACCACAACGAGCCACAACGAGCCACATATACCCATTGCCCGATTTCAACAACACTCTGACCATTTTTATTTCATCTCTCTCCCCTCCTCATCAACTTTTTTCTTTTTTTTAAATTTTATTTTTATATTCCCCATACATACAATTCCAACCCCCTTATTTTGACCCCTTTCCCCACCCCCCACCCCCCATAGAGTGTCTCTGGTTCATAGTTTTTTGTTGATTTTGATTTTCACTTTCTTATAATTATTCTTTTTCCTGGTCCCTTATTTAAGTTTTCTAGATTCCTGCTATGAGTGAGACCATCCGGTATTTTTCTTTTTCTTTCTGGCTTATTTCACTGAGCATGATCCCTTCCAGCTCTATCCACATTGCTGCAAATTGCATGCTTTTTTTTTTTTTTTTTAAGATTTATTTATTTATTTATACAAGCACTGGGTACAGTCAGAAGCGCCGGAGGGTGAGAGAATTCACCAGAGCCAGAGCGGGGAGCAGAGCAGGCAGAAGGACCGAAGTACACTGCTGAGGGGAGCAGCGCGCGGCAGGAGAGGTCTACGTGCCATGTGGGACCCTCCTCCAGTGGCCGGGGAGCAGCGCCCCAGCACTGCAGAGGCTGCGGGCAGCTTCGCAACCCAGTGCCCAACCACTGCGCCACCGGGGAGGCCCGCATTTATCTTTTTTGAATGCTGAGTAATATTCCATGGTGTGTATGTACCACATCTTCTTGATCCAGTCATCTATTTTTGGGCATTTGGGTTGTTTCCATAGCTTAGCTATTGTAAACAGTGCTGCTATAAACATAGGGGTGCAGGTGCTCTTTGGAATTGATGTTTCTGTGTCCTTTGGGTAAATACCTAGGAGTGGAATTGCTGGATCATGTGGAAGCTCTATGTTTAGTAGGTCCAGAAATCACCACTATGGAGAGAGCTGTGTGGAGATTTCTTGACTCATCAACTATTTTTTCCCCTCCCCTGAACTATCATAAAGCAATAGTTTCACTTTATAAAGGGGGTAGGAGGAGGAGACTTTGTTTTTATGTAATGATTTCAGGTTCATACCTGAAAATGGTGGGGAAGATAGATTTCCCATATATCCTCTCCATGCCCCCACACCCCACAGTGGTAGAGTTGTTACACCTGATGCAGCTACACAGACATAGACTATCGCCCGACATCCATCTTTAATGTTACGGCTCACTCTTGTTATTGCGCATTCTAAGGATTTGGGCAAATGTAAAATGACATGCAATCGTTTCCTTTTAAATACCACAGTGTATATTTCTGACACACACATCCTGATGTGGCAAAGCCTTCTGGTGTGATGCAATGGAAGGCAGAGGCACCACATTTGAAGGAGAGTTCCCACAATTCTGAACCTGAACTCAATCATGTTCTGAGTATACAGGAACCACAGAAAACATGGGACAAGTTGAAAATCACTGTAAGGGATCAATCAGCTAAGTCTGTTATGTGGCATGTTCTGTAGAACAGATAACCCAGGCTTTCTTCTTTCAACAAATAGCATAAAACAAAGGAAGGCAAACTGTTAAAGATGAAAACAGACTGAAGAGATCTATCATCCAAATGCAGTGTAGGGATCAGGGGAGAAGCTTAATTTTTGCTTTGAACCAGTCAAAGATATATTTTCAGCAGAAGAGGGGGAAATTGCACACAAACTGAGCAACAAATGATAACAGAGGGTTGCTGATAGTTTGGGGGGATACTATAATGGCATTATGGTCATACTCTGTTTAATTTCTTAGTACATTTCATTTGACTTCAACATACAACAAGATCCTGAGCCCAGCTGGGGCCCATCAGTTAATCACTGGTTGTCAGGTAACTCACTCAGCACTGATGAGCCTCAGTGTTTTCACCTGCAAAACCTGCAAGTTGGAAAGGACTTCATCTGCAGCCCCCAAAAGCCACCTACCAGCTTGACAGTTTCAATTTCAGGCCATCTCTAACCTTCTTCAATTTGATCTGAGAGGCCTGGGAGGATGATCTCATGGTTAGACAAACCAAGCTTCTATTTATGCATCACACTAACTTCATTATTTTTAGAGACATTATTGATTCCCATTTAGCTTGTGGGCCATGCTGAGATTCTTATCTTCCCTGCCCTAAGAGCCAGTCCCTGCTCAGCCCGGATCCAGGGAATGACACTCCATTCTATTAAATGACTGTCTGATTCCCATCTCCCCGCTTTTCCACTTTGTCAAGGTTATTTTAGCTAATAAACCTCATTTGTTATTTATTATTCAAATAGCTGTGGTCATTTTAACTCGAGGTGGGTAGATACCAGACTCGCTGTGGTAACCACAGACTCACAATAATAAAAATGCCTTCCAATTTCATAGACCTGCTCAGCCTTTTAAAGCACACTTACTTGGATTGTGGCCTCATGGTCACCCTAGATTAGGGTTGACAGGATAGGCATTCTTATTCCCAGTTCACAGACTGAGTAATTAGAGGGATGAAGAAGTAAATGAGAACTCAAGAGTACAGATCTGGGTTTCAAGTCCAGGTTTATGAATTAGCTTTGTGTTGTGACCTTGGGCAGGACTAGACTCTACCAGGACACTGTCAACTTGACACATTCAAATTAACCCAAGACAAACCCAGTTTGCACCTGCTTAGCCTATGTCATTATCACCCGTGACCCTGTTCACTCTAAAATGTGTTCCTGTTGGGAACTTTTATGGATCCTACCTAAGGCCCTAGAAGATGAGGATCATGGATCTAAACCAGTGGTTTGAAACATGGTTGCACAATAATCACTGGGGGGAGGTTATTTAAACTCCCAATGCTCAGTCCCCACTCCCCCAAGCCGATACATCAGAATATAAGCTGAGGTGGGGCTTGACTTGGTGTTTGGTTGGCGCTTCCCAGGCGATTGTGCAGCAGAGCTCTGACCAAGTCTTGGGTTGCTCCTGTCACTCAGCATCAGCCTCACCTTCTGCAAGGCCCAGTCACGCTCACCAGGCTAGTGAGCGCCTCACCAGGGAACCAGCTCCCAGTTTTGTGCAACCTCAGTAGGTCCCTGCAGTCTGTGTCCTGGTCAACCGCGAGGACTGAAGCCTAGAGATACTGTGACATAGGTTTGGAAGGGGGACCTCTGCATAATGAAGGGAGAGCCTGGCTGACTTAAATTCTTCAGAAGAATAGGAAGAGTCAGCTTCCCTGGTTTGACTGTTTCAGGCAGCTTAGGTTACGATAAGGATGTATCAGTCCCTAGCTCTCACAGTATTGGCTTCAGGCCTCCTCCTATTTAATTAGCAGCATGCACATTTCCTTTCCATCCTTTGCCCTATCCCTGTCTCCCTGGTTTCCAAGAATCCCAGGGTTCTAAAGGGATCAAGCCTGTGCCAAAGCACCAGGCCAAGGAGGAAGGAGAGACTGGCCGGATTGGGAAGGTTTTCTCGAGGGGGATTGATTGAGTCAGTCCTCCCTGATGTGTTGCACCTTTGGCTGCTGTCAGATCGAGCCTGATCTGTGTGCCCCCTCCCTCTCCCCTGATTCTTCAGCCCAGTGCAGTCACCATTGGCCAGAGCCCCAGGCAGAGGGTCTGTGTTTTAACAGAGATGAAGCAGAAAATCACAGAGTAATCACACTCCCCCTTGCTCCAAAGTGAGTCCTGTTGAGAGTTTTTGTTGTCTTTTCTGGAGCTGACCTCAGGTGACAACACTTCCCATAGCATTGATTATTACTGAGGTCTTCTGTTCTCCCAAGAGGCCCCAAGACCCTCATGCAAATTTGTTTACCAGAGTTGTATTTGCCAGAAGTTCAGCAGTCCCAGACGTTCCCAGCCACACACAGACCCTGGTGTCCTTATAGCAGGGCTGAGGGTTAGGGTACCGGGCCAGGCCAGGTACTGTGTGGGTCAAACTGCAAACTTTTTTACTTTCTCTCTCCCTCAGGAGAATCCAAAGCTCCACTGCCTGCGCCCCCTCAAATTTCAAGTCCCCCTACACCCCACCACCAATCCTTCTGGCCCCTGTCTCTCTGCCTGCCTCTCCTGCTAGTCTGCTCTCCAAAACCCACTTGGGCTACATGGGCGCCTCACGTACCAGGCACCATCCTATCCCAGGTAATCCCTCACTCTGGCCCTTCCCTCAACAGGATGTTCTCCCAGTAGCTGAAAGGCTGTCTGACACCCACCTCCTCAAGCTTTGTCTGAAATAGCATTTTCTCAATAAGACTTGCCCTCACAATTTTGTTTAAAATTGCAACCAGAACCCATTCTTCACTCTCTCTCCAACCTCTTGAGCCACCTCACCCTGATCTTTTTCTTTTTTTTTTAAGATTTATTTTTATTTATACAAGAGCTGGGGTACAGGCCAGAGTCGCAGGAGGGTGAGAGGATCCACCAGAGACAGAGCAGGGAGCAGAACAGGGAGACAGATCGAAGGCACTGCTGAGGGAAGCAGTGGGCAAGACAGGAGAAATCTGCCTCACATGTGGGTTTCTCCCTGGCTGGCCAGGAATCCAAGCAGCGCTGTGGAGGCTGTGGACAGCTTCCCAGTGCAGTGCTTAACCCACTGAGCCACTGGGGAGGTCCAATCATCTATTTTTTGCAATTATGCTTGCACACAATTTTCTTCTGTGTATTCTTCATTGTCTTCCTCTGATAGAACATTAGCTTCCTGGGGCAGAAATGTTTCCCCCTCCTTTTGCCTGCTGATGTGTCCCTAGCTCCTAGAACAATGCCTAGTACACAGAAGGCCCTCAGCAAACAGTCACAGAGTGAATGATCTACCTTCAAACTCCTTGGAGCTAGGTGCAACTATCATGCCCATTGTACATACAGATGAGGAAACTGAAAGTCAGAAACATTAAGGGACTCAATGGAGGTTATGGACAAGCCAGTTACTAACACCAGGCCAGCAGACTTTAGAGCTGGTGACTGAACTCAGGTCAAAGTCACAATGTAAGCAAAATGGGGCTATTTAGTTAGAGTCTAGGGAAGAAAAATTAAATTTTGTTTTGTTTTCAGGGAGAAGAAAGGATCAAAGGAATAAAGTGGAGATGAAAAGAATGTCAAAATATAACAGAGGCACCTCCATAAAAAAAGAGGTTCTCTGTTCCCTGCCCCACCTAATGAGGGGCAGAGCTGAGTGGCCAGGTAAAGCTATAAGACACTTAGAGCAGAGAGACCCATGGAGGAGAAGGGCATGCTTGCTTCTCAGCTTTGGACTTGCACCAGGGACTTGGGGGACATGGAAGGAGACATGTGGAGTCGAGACATGTAGAATCTTGTGGGTGAGAGACCTATGGGGAGTTACAATGGCAACCAATATTTTGATTTGTATTTTGTTTTTTTTTTTTAAATAATAAATTTTATTTTTATATTCCCCCATACAATTGCAAACGCCCCATTCTGACCCCAATCCCTCCCCTCCCGCCCCCCACCCCCCAAAAAGTGTCTCTGGTTCATAGTTTTTTGTTGATTTTGATTTTCACTTTCTTATATTCATTTTTCTGGTCCCTTATTTAAGTTTTCTAGATTCCTGCTATGAGTGAGACCATCCGGTATTTTTCTTTTTCTTTCTGGCTTATTTCGCTGAGCATGATCCCTTCAACGCCATCCATGTTGTTGCAAATTGCATGTGTTTATCTTTTTTGAATGCTGAGTAATATTCCATGGTGTATATGGATCACATCTTCTTGATCCAGTCATCTATTTTTGGGCATTTGGGCTGTTTCCAAAGCTTAGCTATTGTAAATAGTGCTGCTATAAACATAGGTGTGCAGGTGCTCTTTGGAATTGATGTTTCTGTGTCCTTTGGGTAAATACCTAGGAGTGGAATTGCTGGATCATATGGAAGCTCTATGTTTAGTAGGTCCAGAAATCTCCACACAGCTCTCCACAGTGGTTGGACCAGTTTGCACTCCCACCAACAGTGCAGAAGATTTCCTTTTTCTCCACACCCTTGCCAACATTTGTTGTTGCTAGTTTTTTTAATATGTGCCATTCTCACTGGTGTGAGATGGTATCTCATGGTAGTTTTGATTTGCATTTCCCTGATTACAAGTGATATTGAACATTTTTTCATATGTCTGTTGGCCATTTGCATTTCCTCTTCAGAGAAGTTTCTTTTTAGCTCTTCTGCCCATTTTTTGACTGGATTATTTTCTTTGTTGTTGCTGAGTCTCATCAGCTCTTTGCAGATTTTTGTGATCAGTCCTTTATCATTAGTGTTGGGTGCAAAAATGTTCTCCCAGTCAGTGGGGTTTCTCTTTGTTTTTGTTATTGTCTCTTTTGCTGTGCAGAAGCTCTTTAATTTGATGTAGTCCCAGCTGTTTATCTTTGCCTTCACTATCACTGCTTTGGGTGATGTGTCTGTAAAGATGTCTTTGATGTGCAAATCCCGTAGTGTTTCGCCTATATTTCCTTCTATGTATTTTATGGTTTCAGGTCTTATGTCTAGTTCTTTAATCCATTTTGAGTTGATTTTTGTGTATGGTGTGAGGTAGTGGTCAAGCTTCATTCTTTTGCATGTAGCGACCCAGTTTTCCCAGCACCATTTATTGAACAAACTTTCTTTGCTCCAATGCATAGTCTTTGCTCCTTTGTCAAAGATTAGTTGACCGTAAATCTGTGGGTTTATTTCTGGATTTTCTATTTGATTCCATTGGTCTGTATGTCTGTTCTTGTTCCAATACCATGCATTTTTGTGATTATGGCTTTGTAGTAGAGTTTGAAGTCTGGGAGTGTGATGCCTCCATTCCCTTCTTTTTTTTTCAGTAGAGCTTTGGCTATTCGGGGTTTTTGGTGATTCCATATGAATTTCATCAATAATTGTTCTATTTCTTTGAAGAATGACATTGAAATTTTGATTGGAATAGCATTGAATCTGTATATTGCTTTTGGAAGGATGGCCATTTTAATAATGTTTATTCTTCCAATCCATGAGCAGGGGATGTCTTTCCATTTCTTTGTGTCTTCTTCTATTTCTTTTAACAGTGTTTTATAGTTTTCTTTGTATAGGTCCTTTACCTCTTTTGTTAGATTTATTCCCAAATATTTGATTTTTTTTGTTTCGATAATAAAAGGGATGGGTTTTTTGATTTCTTCTTCTTCAGATTTATTGTTTGTGTATAGGAAGGCTACTGACTTTTGCGTGTTGATTTTGTATCCTGCCACTTTACTGAATTGATTGATGAGTTGAATTAGTTTTTCTGTGGAGATTTTGGGGTTCTCTATGTATATTATCATATCATCTGCAAATAGTGATAGTTTGACTTCTTCTTTTCCTATTTGGATTCCTTGGATGTCTTTCTCTTGTCTTATTGATCTGGCTAGGACTTCCAGTATTATATTGAAAAGCAGTGGTGAGAGTGGACATCCTTGTCTTGTTCCAGATCTTAATGGAATTGCTTTCAGCTTTTCACCATTCTTTCATCCTAGATTCACCTGGCCCCTTCTGCCCCTTTTCTATGGCTTCCTACTGGGAAGTGCCTTAACTTGTGGCAAGTTTTTGGGTCTCAGCAGCCCTACCTCAGGCCGAACCTGTTTGGGTGTTTACCCACAAGCAGATGGCTAACCTTGGGTGTTTTATTGGAAAATTATTATCTTTCTTCTCTTCTTTCTGTAGGCACACTGGTCTATGAAAGTTCTTTTATACTTTGTCTTTGTGTGGTGGATGGCAGAATCCCTCTAGTGCATGCGTATTTGGGAGTCTCAGAGAGCCCCTCAATGTTCCTGCTGACAGCGAGACTTTGGTCACCTGAAACTTTAGGTGCACTGGACTTCTGTCCTTAAAAACGGATTTGGGGTACTTTACCCTACACTATTACAGAAAAGGAGATCAGATGGGCCCTAACCCTCTGGAGACTTTGAAATGTAAACCTTGTGTAGAATGGAGATAGTGTAAGCAGAGGTCAGCTACCAGAAAACATACCAAGATATACTGTAAGAAACCACATTACCACATGGGGGTATAACCCTATGTTATTGCTCTCCAATTTGTTTGACAAACAGGGTGTGTCCACTGATCTGGGTCACCCTCAGTCTATCTCCTCTGGGCTGACTCAGGTCTCCTCAAACCCTGGTGGGCCTCCTGGGGCTGACTAGCCTGTGATGTCAGGTGGAAGGGCTTGAGTGTCATGTCTCCCATCATTCAGCAGGCTTACTCAGGCTTGTCCATACAACAGTAGTGAAGTTCCAGGAGAGGGAGCAGAGGCTTGCAAGACTGCCTTAACTGACGCAAAGCCTGCCACATGCTACTAGCGTTGGGGGAGGCTAGCGCTGATTCACTGAACGAGAAAGTGGATCCTACCCTTTGGTAGGATTTGCTGCAAGGTAAGACACACTGTGGCCATTTTTGAAGCACAGTCTACTACAGGTTGGCTTAAGGTAACAGAAACACAAAACGTAAAACAGTAGGCCAAGCAATGGGTAAACAATGAGGATGAAGGAATGGGTAGAAGCAAAGGATTTCTATTGCAGAAAGTTAGTTTATACATTCCTTCCTTTAACAAAAATTTATAGCGAGTTTCTAGTGTGGGTCAGGGACTGAGCTGGTCATGTGCTGGAAAGAGAGCTGGGGTTTCCTCCTCAGGACTTGCAGTCTAGAGCAGGAGACAAATAAGAACCCCACATTTCAACTAGTACTAGGGCATTGTGGACAATTGTGGGAACTCACAGGAGGGGTACCTAGCCAGTCAGGGATGGAGAAGGAACCAGGGGTGCTTCAGTGAATAAACCCTGAAGTAAGACTCATGGCACTAACCAAGCCAAACAAGGTTTGAGAAGTAAGAACATTTGAGGCAGGGGAACAGCATATGTGGGGTCCCAGGGACAGGAGAGGCTGGGACTTAAAGATTCAGTGGCTGGAGTGAAGGAAGATGAGTTAAGAGAGGCAGCTGAAGATTATTTAAGAGAAGCAAAGAACTAAAACTTCACATGGAAAGATTCTGAATAAGCAATCAGACCAGATTGGTTCATTAAAAAGGCCACTTGGACTTTTTTTTTTTTGGGGGGGGGTGGGTCTGAGAATGGAGTAGATTAAGAGAAGATTCAGGAAGTCCAGGCTGTGTGAACAATCTGAACGTGAAATGAGAGATGGACAAATGAAAGATATTTAAAAGGGAAAAAAGCTCCAGAATAGGTCATTATCACAGAAGACAGAAAATTCTAGAATATTTTTGTCTGGGTTTTCTGGCTTCAACCAGATAGATGGTAGTACTTTTCACCAAGATAGAAAACACTGGCTAAAGGCAGTTGCTTTAATTGAGTACAAGATTTGATTCTAAGCTTCCCAGCAGCAAAAGCAAAGAGAAACCTAGATAAGTGACATCATCTCACTCTCCTACCAGGAAGTTAACCTGGGTGTCCTGGAAACCAAACTTCCTCATTACGTACACAAGGGGAATCTGTTGAGGGGATCTCCATGGAAAGGACCATGAACCAGATATAGACAAGATCTTTGTAGTGGTATAAAAGATTCAGGAGCTTTCTTTGTAGGCTTTTCTATGTATCGATCCCAGATAAGAGCTGAGAGCAAGATATTAAATCACAGTTCTGTGGAGTCATTTGTGCAAGAAGTCAGTGTAATGGTCTCTGGGTATCTCACTTGCAAAACAGCTCTGCGCTCTTGGCAGCCAGAGAAGAGACTGGATACAAAGAGAAGGACCTGTGCTAATTAATACATTTTATTTTATAAATTTGAAATTAGGAGTTCGTGGCCCTAGCATGCAAAAAACTGCTCCTGGATTATTTTATTATTATTACTTTTTTATTTTAGCATTTATCATTATTTACATTTTTTAGACAACATTTGCTTCCCCCCACCCCCACAAATTGAGTCCCCATAGAATTTCCTACCCCAAGGCACCCGTGCACCATCACCACAGTCCCCTGTGCACCTCCCTCCCTCCCTCTGACCCCTCTCCCTCCTCCTCCCCTGCAGGATGTCTCTGATTTATAATTGTCTGTTTTTGCTTTGTTGTGTTTTGTACTGTTATTTTTTTTACACTGATGTCTTATTTGGTTCCCCTATATTCCTGCTATAAGTGAAACCATCTGATATTTTTCTTTTTCCTTCTGGCTTATTTCACTCAGCATAATTCTTTTTAGCTCCATCCATCTTACTGCAAATGGTATGAGTTTATCTTTTTTGATTGCTGAATAATATTCCATGGTGTATATGTACCACATCTTCTTGATCCAGGCATCTATTTTAGGGCATTTGGGTTGTTTCCAGGTTTTACCCATTGTAAATTGTGTTACAGGTGTTCAGGTGTACAGGTTACAGGTGCTCTTTTGAATCACTGTTTTTGTGTCCTTTGGGTAG